CACTAGTTGGTTCATAGGCCGTCAATGTCTGAAAGGAGCTTGCTCTCAGTGGTGTTTAACCGGAGTGACTAGCTCCGGTTCCTGGGGGTGCACCTTAAACAAGATCTAGCTGGCCATGGACGATGATTGTTTTGAGGCTTAATCACACTTAGCACAAGAACTCTGTTTCGCAAACTATATTATTTTCTGATTTAACATTTAAATCTTATATTGATTTGATATTCACTGGTTTAACCCCTTTGGAAGAAATTTAAGTAGTTGACTTTCATCAAAACGACAATGTATTAATTTATATGCACTAACCGTTACATTTTTGTGTGTGTAGGTGAAATTGCAATCGTACATTAGATGATATAAGAGTTTCTTGAAGCAGTTTGGTTCCGTGATCATCACATGATACAGCAATTTGGTGATGACTCGAGCATCTCTGGAGTTCTGTGGATGATATAAACATGAAACAGTAGTTCTTCTTAAAGTCAGAAAGATCCATTAAAAGAAAAAGCCAATTGAGAAAAAATGAGATATAAAGGAGGAGAGGGGACTCACATTTGGCCTAGATTTGCGAAATCGAATCCGGGATCCATCTCTTGAACAATATCATTCGGTGGTTGTCCGCATTCCTGCATCTTCTGCATGATCTCCATTATCTTAGACGAATTGTTCGGTTCATGTTCATAAACCGCGTTGAGTTCTTCGATTAGTTTGTACTGCTGTGTATAACGTTTGTAGTCTTCTTTGCTTAGACTGGCTTCATTCTCTTTTAGCCATTTCGGGTATCTTGCACCGATCTCCTTCATTGGTTCGTGGAGAACATCCTTCGACAATAGCTGTTGCATCATGGTTTCGACCATTGATTCCAAGTCCTAAGCACAAACAAGAAGAGAGTCAACAAAAGCGAAAGATACATAAACAGTATCTCAATAAAAACCTTAACACAGGATCAAGCACAAATTCTATTAAGCTGCAGTTACTTAAAACCTTGAAGTCACAGGACAAGAAGAATCACACATTGGTTCCGCGCTAAACATATCAATCAGCACATTAAAGATCAATCTTATATTCAATCCAAAGACGAAAAGCAACACAAGATATCTACTAAATCTACTTAACTGATACAAGACAATACTTTGGAGTTTCGGGGGTTACCGTAGATCCAGCGAGATCCTCGAATTGCTTGAGAAAATCTTCTACCAGAGCATCATCAGTAGAAGCTGGCTGCTGCTGTTTGGAAGAAATGGATTCCAATCCTTTGACAGTTTCTCTAGTTTGTTCCCTAAGCTTATCAAGAGTTTCTGCAACATGATCCTCTTTCGAAACTTGTTGTTTTCCTTTCTTCTTGCTTCTCAAATCAGGTAATCCCATTCCAAGTCCTTGAACTCCACTCGGTAATTGACC